ATCCGGAAGTCGACGCACCGCGCCCACTTGTTGCATCCCCAGGAGTTTGTAAATAGAGGAGGAATCTGCCTGTTTTTCCTCTAGTTCGCCCTCTTCTCCGCCTTCACTAACATCTCCGCCAAATACCGAAGACCCGGAACAACGTCCGTCCACTACTAGATTATTTTCCTGTTTTGCCCGCCTTCGTCTCCCGGCAACGGACAACAACTTCCGGGGTCAGATGCGCTGCTTCGTGTCTATCGCAGATGTAGAGAATCACCGGGAGCGCTTCTCCCTTCATTAAGGAGCTTCTTTCAGACATGAGGAGAGCTGTTTTGGTGGTAGCAGTCTCTCCTCCGTGCTGGTCTGTTTGCTGCTGGGTGTTTTTGGTTTATTTAAACTTGGTAACTTGAACTTAACATTGGTAAAGCTACTGTTAGCATCTTCGCTAACAGCTTCTTGCGTTGGGATAAGCCGTTACGTTTTGGTTTAGAGTTCATCTTTTTTGTGGTGTAGATCTCCCTTTTATTACATTTAGTGTTGTGGGTTTTCGGTTTAGTGTAAAATATCACCTGAGTTTGGTTTAACCCGTAAGACCACTCGCCTCACGCACATAAGTGACCAAAACAAAGCAGCATGGAGACACTCCATCTTCTACCACCTCTCAGGCAGCAGCCTGCACTCCCAAGTTCTACATGTCACCAGAACATAACCAACCGCAACACAATAAACGCAGTGTTATACAAAATGGAAGGCCTGTAGTGTTTATTCTCTTACAGTAAGAATTTATCAATTTTTTTGAGGAATTTATTAGAGATTTTCTGGTTTTTGTTAATTGTGCAATAGAAAAATAATCATTAGATTAATTTTCTAAATAGTCATTAGAATAGTCGACTATTCGATAAAATAATCGTCAGAATAATCGTTTAAAAAATAATCGTTTACCCCCAGCCCTACCCCAAACACACATCAAAAGTGGTAAAGGAATGGCTAAATCAGGCTAGAATAAGGGTTTTAGAATGGCCTTCCCAAAGTCCTGACTTAAACCCCATTGAAAACATGTGGACAGTGCTGAAGAAACAAGTCCATGTCAGAAAGCCATCAAATTTAACTGAACTTCACCAATTCTGTCAAGAGGAGTGGTCAAAGATTCAACCAGAAGCTTGCCAGAAGCTTGTGGATGGCTACCAAAAGCGCCTAATTGAAGTGAAAATGGCTAAGGGACATGTAACCAAATATTAGCACTGCTGTATGTATATTTGTGACCCAGCAAATGTGATCACTTTTCTCTGTTAACCCATAATAAAGACATTACAGAACCAAACTTCATGAATGTTTTTTGTGACAAAGAAGTATCTGTTCCAATCACTCTATCAGAGAAAAATCAGAGTTTTAGAAATAACGGGACACTCAGTAGAGCCATTATATTATATTTTTTACAAGTGTATGTAAACTTCTGACCACAACTGTAGACAGACAGACAGACAGACAGACAGACAGACAGACAGACAGACAGACAGACAGACAGACAGATAGATAGATAGATAGATAGATAGATAGATAGACAGACAGACAGATAGATAGATAGATAGATGGCCACGTCCTGGTGTAACAAGTTTGGGAACTGCTGTTAGTTAGAATTCTTTGTTTAATTGTACTATTAATATTATCATTATTTCACTTTGTTTTATTCTTTTTTTCTTCCGAGCTTTTGTTTTTAATATTTCTGCTTTTACTTCAGCTGCTTTGCATTTGTTTTATTTTGAAAGAAAACTGAAAAGTGATTCTAATAAAGTACCGCTAAATAAATAAAAATGTAAGTATTGGACAGATTTGCACCATTGCTTGTGTTCTTCAACATGTCTAACTTTGAATTTTACCGCAACTCTCAGTGATAAATAAACAGTAAATAATCACATCTCTAGTTTTTTTACACCATTTTAATGGATAATTCAAAATTCAAAAATACTTTATTGATCCCAGTGGGAAACTGAATGTTGTTGTTGTTGTTGTTGCTGCTCGTATTATTCTAAAACAACAATAACAATAAATAATAACAATAAATAATAATAATAATAACAATATTTATCTCATTATTCAAGGCTCTCGAAAAAGCGATGTACTTTTAAAGAAATGAAGAGATAAACATAAAAGAGACATTTAAAACATACTGTACATATAAAGGTTACAGTCTGCACCTTTAAATAATATAATCTGGCAGCAAAGGCAGGAGCTGCTTTAGACCAGCAGCCACTTGGCTGATTACAGACATTTCTAGAAGCAGTGACAGATAACTCCAGCGGGGTGCTGCCAGGCTCGGCCAACTGCTGGCAAGTGGTCATTAGTTGCACTCTTGTAAACTCAGAACCTTTTAAAGTCTACACAGATTTCCTTTCATTTCGGATTCATTTTTGTACACACAATAAGAAATAATGAAAAATAAATGCCCTCCATAAGTGCACCTATGTTCCTGGAGGATCGCTGTAGAGGCTAGTTATACTAACAGCGTGCACAAAGGACTAACCATATAAAAGTGTGGATGACAGAAAAAACATTTTTTAGGCCCGAGCAGCGTAAGCGCCGCAAAGGCCTATTGTTTTTCTAATGTTTATTTTTCTTCCGCCAAGTAAATTGGCTTTTTGGAGGCCTTAACATTCCCAAAAACTCAGGATTTTTTGCACACATGTCAGCCCGGTGAAAAGTTTGTATTTTAAAGATCCCAAAAAAATCGCAAAGAAAATGGCTGAATAGCGCCCCCTACAATGTGGAAAATACCCCCTCCATAAACCTTAGTTTATCGAACAGTTATGAAATTTTGTACACCTGTAGTGCTCAACAGTCTGCACAGAAAAGCCTCCTGCAACCATGGTCAACATCAAACAGGAAGTTGGCCATTTTGGGTTGAATTGGTGATTTTTACCCGTTTTGGCCGTTTTTAGGGTCCGCTTCTGATTGATTTACTCGATCATTTTTCGCACGATCATCTCGAAATTTGTGAAAAATTGCTCAGAAGGGACGGACGATCAAAGAGAAAAATTAAAACTGACTTTTCGTATACGCTGAGGGGGCGGGGCCATGCCTCGAAGTTCGACTACTCGCCAAAAAAAACATAAATGACTATAACTTCATAACCGAATGGAATAGAGTTACAAAAATTTCTATGGTCATTTGTCATCCAACCACGAACTAAATTGAATGGTCGGATGATGACATCACGCAAGCCCCACCCCCTCAGGACCAAAAAGGTCAAGTTTTACTGTGATAGGTCCCAAATAGCCCCATTTCATGTAATCACCACAAATTTGTAGCTGGTAACTCAAGATAAGTGGGGGTTGCTTGGCGTCACTTTATGGGAATTTTCAAAAGAGGGCGGGGCTGTGGCGGCGCAGCAAAGTCAGGCGTACTGCCGTGGCCATTCGTTTGCCTCCTATTTCGTCATTTCTAAAGATATCACCACGAAACTTCTGGTGAGTGAGCCTAGTCCGGTCTCACAAAAAATCTGATGTGAAAATCTGGTGGGCATGACCTATTTTCTTAAATAGCGCCCCCTAGGACCATTAAAACTGTCAGCCCCAAGCTATGAGTTGACTGAGGATTATGAAATTTGGTACACTAATGTAGTGTCTCAGGACCTACAAAAAAAGCCTCTTGAAGCCAAGGGGAAAGTCGCACAGGTCGGCCATTTTGGTCAAAGTAGTCGATTTAGTGGTTTTCGCACACGTCGTTTGGAGAGTGATGCCCCATCGCCCTTTTCACCAATCGCCTTCAAAATTCTGCTACTCTTAAGACATAGGGGGAAAAAGTTCAACCGTTAGATTTTTCAAAAGTTGAAAGGTGTGGGCGTGGCTGAGCCTCAAACTTTGACCTGTTGTCACACCACTCTTGTTTTCACTGTTCCCTATTGGACTCCTTTCACCCAATCACCAGCAATCTCTGGCAAATAGCAGTAGACAATTTGAGGTCAATTGGTGTCCAGTATTGGCAGGTTTCAAAAAACGGCGGGGCTTTAGGAGCATGGTGAAATTTGCCATCACGCCATGGAAATACGTTTGCGTCTCATTTCCTTTGTTATCGTGACATCGCCACGAAAATTCTGGTGAGTGATCCTAGTTTGACCCCCAATAGGAATGGACAGGAGAAGTTGGTGGGCGTGGCCTATTTTCTCAAATAGCGACCCCAGGACCATTAAAACTGTCAGCCACAAGCCACGCTTTGACAGAGGATTACAAAAATTGGTACACTAATGTGGTGTCTCAGGACCTACAAAAAATTCTCTTGGCGCTAAGGTCAATGTCGCACATGAAGTCAGCCATTTTGGTCCAAGTTATCAATTTAGTGGCCCATCGCCCTTTTCACCAATCGCCTTCAAACTTCTGCTATATACTCTTAAGACATGGGGGGGAAATTTTAACCGTAGGATTTTTCAAAAGTTGAAAGGTGTGGGCGTGGCTGAGCCTCAAACTTTGACCTGTTGTCACACCACTCTTTTAGAAGCATTAACGTCAGCATATCGATATCTGCAAATATTGGTTATCGGCCATAACCGTGATCTTAACATCGGAAATCGGTATCGGCCCAAATATTTCATATCAGTGCATCACTAGAAATAATATTCCAAATCCTGTCTTCTGAAGCTACTTTCTTTCCCAGCTGACTTAAACAGGCACATATGAACTGTGTTCAGACCAGACCTTTTTGATTCACTGGGACAAACAGCTGAAACTGGGGAGGGATATTTGTTCAAACTAAATCTCAGAAGACGTCCAAAAGGTTTGGAAGCCTGTGTGTTAACTGTGTGTTCAAAAATGAACGGTGAATAACGCACTATTACCTCATAGGTGCGGCACCACACCTGAAACTCCAGCGCCACACCTACGAAACCCCCCCCCCCCCTGCGTTCATGGGAGACGCTGCTCCAAAATATCCATTCAATTATAATTACAGTTAAAGACTGGAAGTAAGCCAAACCTGAAGGAAGTCATCTCGAACCAGGATGGATTAGTGTGAAAGGTGTAACTCACCATTTTTGGCTACTTCAGCTATGATGTTGGCTACTTTAGGAGTGCAGGAAGACTGGGGGTTGAGCAGGGTGGGGAGCAGAGGAAGGATATCCATCTCCTGGATCTTCATACTGGCCTCGGTGTCTTCAGGAGAGGAAAATGGGGTAGGTTTTATCTTCTATGTTTTGGCAACAGTCAATACAAAACATGGACAACAAACAACAAACTTCCTTGTCAGACTCCTAAATGAGTCGAATAGAAACTCACTAAGAAGGCACCAAAGGAGTCAGCAACCAAAGACAAGCAGACTGAAAATGAAGGGTGTCAAATCTGTAAAATGCTATGGAGCAGAGACAACTTCTGATGGACTTTATCAGTCTTTCGTGTCATATTTGAGAAATTCTGGTCATCTTCATGGCACTGATGGATTCAAAGCTCATTGAGGTTTGCAGATATTTGTTTTTGCACAGCTCTCTTGAGAGTCTGAGACAACATTGAAATCTAGACCTTAAATGCATGCTTGTCTAAAAACGATTCTAATATTATCTAATAATTTCTCTAATACTAAAAAATATAACAACTGAGGTCTGGAGCAGCTCAAAGACAAACCACGAGTCTGCCCATTAGGGCTGAACGAGTTTAGGAAAAGATAAAATCACCATTTTCTGGCAGAAATAGGGATGTTAGTTTGATTCATGACTTTCTTCTAATTAAGCTTCAGCACAATATTCACAACGTACGATAACATTTACAAATGTGACAAAAGCAGTTAACAGACCGCAGCTTCGATAATCACATGATTGTGTTGTCCGATATCGCAATTTCAATCCGAAAAGTTCAGCCCTAGTAGCTACAGAACACCGAGCAAAGGGTTTGATTTTCTACTCACTGTTGTTGGCGAGTGCCTTGAGCAGGCAGTCCAGACAGCTCTCTGCTCTGTCAGTGGTGCTGTCGGTAGACGCCAGCTTCAGCTTCTCCAAAGCTTCACTCAAGTTGTCTGAAAACAAACATTTCATCAAGTTATACACCACCACCACCAGTGGAGCAACACATACGGCTACACAAGGACAATACTAGCCTCTTTCTGCTACACATGCAACCTGAGGATAATAGGAACTAAACGTTAGATGATAGGGATGTGTACTGGTGAAATTCTGGCGATACAATATGTATTACGATACAGGGGAGACGATACAATATATCACGATACACTGCGATACATTCAGTCAGACGATATTGGCGATTTTTTAGACTAAACTTATTATAGGAAAATTCAATAAACAGTCCAAACTGATACTTAACATGTTTAACCATAACAGAGGGATTTACATTTCAATGGTAGAAACAAAACCATTACACACTGCTGCCAACTAGTGGTCGGCGTTTGTATTGCACCACAAGAAAAGAAAATACACAAATGTTTCCATGTAAATTCTTCCAAAAATTAGATACACGACTTTTGAATATCGATACATTTTTGCAAGAAAATATATCACGATATATTGCGATATCGATATTTTCGATACACAGCTTTTGAATATCGATATAATGTCGCTGGGGAAAATATCACGATATATTGCCATAATCGACATTTTCTTACATCCCTAGTTGTGATAGTATTTTTGTCCATTTCACCCAGCCCAGCTTAAAACCACTAAAACATGAAAAGTCCTGTTTTAACTCAACTCAAACTTTATTTATATAGCACTTAATCATACAATACATGTAACAAAGTGCTAAACCAATTAAAAAGGCGCCGCATACCCACATTCCCTCCCATCCCCAGAATTTTAAAAACAGTCCGACAATAAAAACCCTTCACAGCACTCATCCTCTGGCACACACGCACACCCACCCCCATGGAAAAAAACACAATGGACTGAGTTCAGATGAGCCAGACCAGCTAAGATAAGGAAACGCCATCAGGGGAGCCATCCGCCCCGACAGCAGCAGATCCACAGCAGCAGCCGAGGCACAGACACAGGGCGCCCAGGGCAGGGAGGGCGGAGACCCCCACCTCCTACCTCGGGTAGCTTCATACTAGTCATTCCTTCCACCCAACCAATGAAAATGACAGACCCAAGCACGCTCCATCACCAAGCCCTCCCCTCTCAAGCCTAAACAGACTTAATGTGACTTAAACAAGATGTCCCAAAAAGGCTCCAGTATCTCACCCGTGTGGCGATATTTTCATTCTTACAAGTCTGACTAAACAAACAACAGCGGTCTGCAACAGAGTCGATAGAAACGAGTCTGGAAACCAACCAACATGTTTTATCATCTAATAATGACATAACATGGCCAGGGCTGCACTTACAATGTATTTTCTACATTTTTCATATAGTTTAAATAATTATTGATACCGATCAATATGTTTTTTTTTTAATCAATAAGCTTTTTTTCTGTATTGTCCAGCAGCTCCAGTCCTAATTTCTAGTAAATTAACAGTCTTACACTGTTTTCTAATATGGGGTCATAGCCTTGTGAAAGAGAAAATAATGGTGCTGCACTCTATAGCTGGGTGCACCAGGGTGGAATCCATGGAGAGAGGCGTGAATCTTCACTTGTCTCCTGATTTGATTACAATTATTGGGTCAACAACTCAATTCGATATCCCGATGCATCACGATTATTTTATATTGATTTGTTTTCATTGATTAATAGAAGATAGGGCACTTTTCTATCAACATTTAAATATAAACATGGATAGCGCCTTTCTCTTTTCACTACAATGCATCACTCATCCATTCACACACACATTCACACACTGGTGGTGATGAGCTACATCGTAGCCACAGCTGCCCTGGGGCGCAGTGACAGAGGCTGCCGAGCACAGGCGCCACCGGTCCCTCCGACCACCACCTGCAACCTTCCGATTACTGGACAACCCTGCCACAGACAGATCTGGACAAAGCGCACGCGCACGCACGCACACACACACACACACACACACACGCACACTAGATAACTGTGAATAACCTCCATATGGAGAAAAAAAAGATCAGTTCTGACCAGTTGATACTAATCGGTCACTTACATTTATATTTGCAACATTATTTTTGTTAAATGTAATTTATGATGTTTTACACTCAACTTTGCATTACACAAAATAACGGAAGCTGGTGCTAAAGTTCATCTATTTCAGAAAAGCAGAAGGGGTCCAAACCAAATGCTGAGTGAGTAGAGTCCAAATGCATGGTCATGCCGTCTTAAGATGTCAGACATTTCTCTATTTAAAGTCCTTGTTTTAGTGACTTCATGTAATATAGTCTAACCTTCTGAGATTTTGAATGTGGCATTTGTGGCGTTGAATGAGGCCTGAAATATCTAGCTTTGCATGTAATGAGTCTGTCTCGTGTATTAGTTTCACCTTTTAAGTTGAGTAATGACGTTCTAATTTTCCCACTTTACCTTGCACTCTGGTAGTAGATCTAATATCCTGACCGGTGTTACTGCGTCACCACTAGGGATGGGTACCTTTGACATTTGAATCAATCCGGTACTAATTCCCGGTACCTACGAGTCGATACCGGTACTTAACGGTACCAATTTTCGATACTTTTGAGTGTTTATTATTTTAATTCTCTTTTATAATTAAATATGTATTTTTCTCAACATATAACCATATTTGATAAATATCACGATAAATAACATACAAGTTTGTATTTTAACATCGTCCTTGTAGTTTTATAAGCTGATAATTAAACTGAAGCAAACATCTTTACTGTGAACTAAATTTACTGTGCATCTTCATTCCTTTTGCCGTCCTTTTTCATTTGATTTTTCCTACTGGGAAGTTAGAATTTCCGAGGAGAAAGCGAACGCACCATTAGCTGATAACAACGGTGGCAATGGAAGCTAACATATCAAGCTAACGTTATCTTAGTTTATTTAGCTGCTGGAGCAGATTAAAACGATGATGCCTCAAACTTAGATCGTTGTCACTGGTTTTACCTTCACCCAATCACCCGTCGCATTTAGTAAAGTAAAGCCAAACTTTAGAGCGCGTTCATGTTCTTCTAGTCGGAAATTCGGAGTTCCGAGGAGAAAGCGAACGCACCATTAGCGAAACGGAAGCTAACAAATCAAGGTAACGTTATCTTAAACATTTTATTTACCTACTGGAGCAGATTAAGATGAGGATGTCTCACTTAGATCGTTGTCTGTCGCTAGTTTCATCACCCATTTACCCATCACATTTAGTGAAGTGGACCCAAGCTTTAGCGTGCGTTCTTTCTACCATGCTTGCTCTGTTTACAACGGGCTCGCAGGGACCGGCGACATAACGCTCTTGCGCATGCGCAACTGTCTTGGCAGTACCGAAACGAGGCACCGTTTGAAATGACGTGAATCGGTGTTCGGTCGGTACTGTGGAATTCGGTCGGTACCTTAAAAAGTACCGAATTCGGTACTCATCCCTAGTCACCACTAATTTCTGTTTCAAACAACAACACCCTCGTGGAAACAACTGTTCACGGCAGAACAAAGGTTTATAGAACACTGTCAGCATCACTCGCTGTGACCATTTGAGATTAGAGATCGTCACTGGTGTTGGGGTCCTGCCCTCATGAGGAAATTACTACGCAGTATTTTCTCCAAAGGACTAGGGCTGCACAATATATCGAAAAATTATCGTCATCGGGATAACAGGACGTGCGATAGGCCCATCGCAAAGCACGTCAAAAACAGCGATAAATGTTTGGTTCAAACATTTCCATCCGTGTCATACATCAACTTTTTGTAAACCAGCTCTGTTTTTTACGCGGAAGTATTATTTGACCAATCAAATGTAGCCCTTCTGATATGCGGCCAATCAGATGGGTCCGTTCACGTAATACGCCCGCCCCCTACATAGACCCTTATGGAACGCAACACCTGAACTGAGCTAGCGGCGCCGTTCCCTTGTTCGTCATGCTGGCTCAGATTAACAAACGCACTTTGTGCTGATGTTTCTGGAATCAGCGCTGCTTTCAAACGTGAACGTGAGTCCGCTCGGTGTCGTTAAGCAGCTGATAATAACCGGGCTGACTCCGACAAGTGCCGGTGAACCAACCCACCTACCTTCATGTCGCTAGTGTTCCACCGGGTTGTGATGTTAGCCACAGGCTCCGGTTAGCTTCCAGCTAAAAGGCTACAGCACTCTCCTCCCAGTCCCACCCTGCTAAAGAGGGCCTGGAAAAGTTCCCCCACACATCAAAGTGATTTTTCATTTATGAGCTTTTATAACCTTGTTAATCAGGATAGTTGATTTGCTGCTGCACATAAACTGTCAGTCAGAAGCTCTGCTAGCCGGATGTCTTAAGAGGAGCTAGTTCAATTTTTTAGCTTGTTATCAGAATCATAGTTGCAGTTTCATCATCTGAGCTGCTTTTTAAGATCTAGGTAAACCATTGGCGGTTCTAGGGGCGGGGCCACAGGGGCACTGGCCTCTGCTGAAATATGATTGGCCCCTGTAGTGCCCCTGTCCTGTCACTTATCTGTCCTTTGTGCGGTGATGAGATTATAGGTGGATGCAATTCCGAGTCCAAACACTAGTGGCCGTGTGGCGCTAAGGAGCAAAATAGTGTGTGAAATCCAACAGAAGAAGATTTGAAAGATTCCAAGAAGGGAGAACTTTTCAACCGACATCGGATCTGATGAGAGTCCACGTTATGAGGAGTTTGTTGGTAAGTCACGAATCACTGTTTACTCACAGTTGCCATGTAAGTCAAGTCTGACAATAAGTCCAATGGAAAGCAATGCCGACATTAGTTAAAGGTAATGTTAAAAAGGGCTTGTGAAAAAACGTTAGCCCTTGCTAATCCATGTACTTCTTTTGTAATCTGCATTTCGTGTGTTAATAGTTGGCACTGTCTGATAGAGAACATGAAAAGAAAGGGTCAGATACAGGCGGGAATTCTGCAGTTTTTTCCCAAGAGAGTGAGTGTGTCAGCTGGTGAAAACGAGCATGGAGAAATCAGAGAGAGAGCAGCAGGAGGCAGTAGACCAGAGGCTGGA